GGTGAGTTCCTCCTGCTTGTTACCCATACTACGAGCATTCAAACTTGTTGAACTAATGATAATTTGCATTTCGGCATGTAGCACCTTTTGATCTGAAACTATCAAAGCACTTGTTGGAGGTGAATAAGTTTTGTTGCTCTCAGTTGTGTGGAGTGCTGAAGTAACATGTTCAGTCACACAACAGCACATAGTTGAGTTGACTGTAGACCTTAGATCTTAACTCTCAGTCCCCTGTTTTAACAAGTTCATACCATCTGTGAGAAAAGTGGCAAGGGCAAGTTAATATAAGTACTTGATTTTGTTTCATCTGAAAAGTGCCATTACAGTTTCTTCCAGCATTAGGTTGACTGTATCACAAAAACAGCCTCCATGTCATTTCATGTAGCTCCTGCAATAGTCATTGAGATTTTCCCTACTGAATTGATTAACAAGAGCTGAAGACTGTGGCCAAAAGTGGTTTAACTTCAGAAGAAAATAAAATTGTAAGAGAGTCAAGCCTGGTCTAGTGTTCTCTAGGTGTTGTAGTGGATTAACATACCAGCCTCTCTCTGGGACAGTGGAGTTACTACTTTGGGTAGAAAAATAAAGGAATCTGACTCCCCCTGTAAAGAATAAAATGTAAAGAATGTTAAGATATTTTATTCAAAGATTTTGTAATTCTTACAAAAAAGTAGTTCCCAAGAATTTTTCAACTGTATGTGTTTGAATAAAAAAATTAATTAAAGAAATATTCCTCTCTTCAGAACTCCCCAGATAGGCCTAGCCAGTGGAGTTCAGTCCAGCCACAACAAAATCCTGAGAACTCACTGCTTTTTCCTTCATTGTTGGTGAAGGCAAAAACTAAAAGAAAATCAGTGATAGATTTCCTGGTTTATGCACATGGTAACGTAAGGCACCTCTGCGCGTTCTGGGCGTCTGCTCTGACGTGCTAATTAACACACATTGGTCAAACTTGATCCATTGAGTCTAATGGAATGATTACTGTGTCATGTACTCAGTGTCCCCATGCTTCAGAATGGTGGCAGGGGCTCTTTAAATAAAGCTCTGAACAAGCTTTAGTTAAAGCTTCCCCACTGCCGTTTTGAAGCTCAGGATGCTGAATACATGTGACGCTGCGGGAGCTTCAGTTAGAGTGGCTCTTGGAGTCTCCTCCTGCCCCCCGGGGGCTCCACCCTAATTTTTATTTCTCTCTTGTTTTTTTCCCCATGATAACAATGCTGCAACCCTCCACCTGCTCCTACAAAGAGTTCTGCAGTAGAACAAAAATTGGCTATTTATGGAGTAGCTTCCATGGAATTGAGGGGTAGCTTCTTTCTGTGCTGATAGGTGTTGCTGTACCATAACCACTCTAATGGTAAAGGTTTTAAAATTTTCAAATAAAAAAAATTAGGGTTGGAAGGACCTCAGGAGATCATCTAGCCCAAACCCCTGCTCAAAGCAGGACCATGCCTAACTAGACCATCTCAGCCACGGCTTTGTCTAGCCAGGTCTTAAAAACCTCCAAGGATGGAGATTCTACCACCTCTCTGGGTAACCCATTCCAGAGCTTTACTACCATCCTAGTGAGAAGTTCTTCCTCATATCTAACCTAAACTTTCCTTGCTGCAACTTGAGACCACTGCTCCTTGTTCTGTCATCTGTCAACACTGAGAACAGTCTAGCTCCATCCCCTTAGTAACCACCCTTCCGGTAGCTGAAGGCTGCTATTAAATCCCGCCTCAGTGTTATCTACTCCAGACTAAATAAACCTAGTTTCTGCAACCTCTTCTCATAAATCTTGTGCCCCAGCCCCCTAACCATTTTCATTGCCCTCCACTGGATTCTCTCCAATTTGTCAGTTTCCTTTCTGTAGAGGGGGGTCAGAGTACTCACCAGTGCCTAATAGAAGGGAAGAATCACTTCCCTCAGTCGGCTGGCAATGCTCCTACAAATGCAGCTCAGTATGCCATAAGCCTTCTTTGCAACAAGGGCACACTCTTGGCTTCTATTCAGTTTATTGTCCACAGTACCCCCAGGTGCTTTTCTTCAGAGCTGCTGCCTAGTCATTAAGTCCTGAAACCTGTATGCATGGGGTTGTTCTCTCCTAAGTGCAGGACTTTGCACTTGTTCTTGTTGAACCTCATGAGATTTATTTTGATTCAATGCTCCAATCTTTTTAGGTCTCTCTGAATCCTAACCCTACCCTCCAGGGTACCTACTACTCCCCTCAGCTTGGTGGCATCTGCAGACTTGCTGAGGAGGCACTCCATCCCATCTTTCCAGCCATTAATGAAGATATTGAACAAAACCAGCCCCAGGACCAACCTCCATTTGATACCAGCTGCCAATCAGACATTGATCCATTTGCATCAAGCCATTTACCCTCTGACTCTGATGTTCCAGCCAATTTTCTATCCACCTGACAGAACATTCATCCAACTCATACTTCCTTAGCTTGTTTGTGAGAATGTTGTGGGAGACTGTACCAAAAGCCTTGTTAAAATCAAGGTGTATCTCATGTTCACTGCTCTTCCTGCATCTACAGAGCCAGTCATCTCATCATAGGTTGGTCAGGCACAACTTGCTCTTGGTGAATCCATGACGACTATTGCTAATCATCTTCTTCTCCAAGTGCTTAGAAATTAATTCCTTGAGGACCTGCTCCATGTCTTTTCCAAGGACTGGGGTGAGACTGACCAATCTGTAGTTCCCTGGATCCTCCTTCCTCTGTTTCTTAAAGACAGGCACAATGTTTGCCCTTTTCGAATTGTCTGGGACCTCTCCCAATTGCCACGAGTTTTTAAAGACAATGGCTAGCAGGTTTGTGATCCCATTGGCCAACTTCCTCAGCAACCTCAGGTGCATCCTGTTTGTCCCCATGGACTTGTACACATCTGGCTTTTCTAAATAGTCAGTAAATCTGTTCTTTTGCCACTGGTGACTGCTCACCTCCTCCCCAAACTGTTCTGTCAAGTGCACTAGTTTGGAAGCTGACCTTGCCTGTCAAGACTGAGGTAAAAAAGGCATTGATACTTCAGTCTTTTCTGCATCATCTGTTACTAGGTTGCCTCCCCAAGTCAGTAAGGGACCTTCACTTTCACTGATCTTCCTCTTGTTGCTGAAATACTTGTAGAAACCCTTCTTGTTACCATTCATGTACCTTGCTAGCTGCAACTCCAATTGTGCTTTGGCCTTCCTGATTTCATCTCTGCACGCCCGAGCAGTACTCACATACTTCTCATTGTTTGTTCAAATTTCCACTTCATATAAGCTTCCTTTTTGTGTTTTAGCTCACTGAAGAGTTCCCTGCTAAGCCAAGCTAGTCTTGGGCCATACTTGCTAGTTTTCTGTGCATTGACATTGTTTGTCCCTGCACCTTCAGTAAGGTTTCTTTAAAGTAAAGTCAGCTCTCCCGGACTTCTTTCCCCCAGGTCTGGCTTTCCAGGGTATCCTGCCCATCAGCTCCCTGAGGGAGACCAAGTCCACTTTTCTGAAGTCCAGGGTCTATACACTGCTGCTTTCTTTCCTTCATTTCCTTAGGGTCCTGAACTCAATCATCTCATGGTTGCTACTGGTCAAGTTTCCATCCACTACTACATTCACCAGCAATTCTTCCCTGTTTATGAGCAGCAAATTAAGAAGAACATGGCCCCTAGTTGGTCTTTCTAATGCTTGCATCAGGAAGTTGTTCCCAACACTCACCAAAAGCTTCCTGGATTGCCTGTGCACTGCTGTATTGCTCTCTCACCAGATGTCAGGGTGATTGAAATCCCACAGGAAAACCAGGTCCTGTGATCAGGAAACATTTGCTAGATTTTTGAACAAAGCCTCATCCACTTCATCCTCCTGGTCTGGTGGTCTGTAGCAGACACCAACCACGACTTCACCACTGGTGCTGTCTCCTCTGGCCCTAACCCAGAAATTTTCAGTGGGCCTATCTCCAGTTTCATATCGGAGCTCTGAGGAATCATATAGCTCTTTTACATAAAGAGCAACTCCTCTTCTTCTCCCCTGTCTATTCTTCCTGAACAGTTTATACCCATCCATGACAGTGCTCCCAATCATGCAAACTATCCCCTAAGTCTCTGTTATTCCAGTCACATTATAATTTGATGATTGTACAAGGACTTCTAATTCTTCCTGCTTGTTTCCCAGGCTCTGTGCATTTATTAACAGACACCTGAGTTAACTAGCCAATTGCCCTACTTCGTTGGGAAGAATCTTCCTAAATCAGAGACAACATTCACTAGAGGTGCACCAATACATCCGGCTATATCGTATCAGCACTGATAAAAGGAAAATCAACATGAAAAGTCAGTAATTGGCTTTTTTCGGCTGATGTGCCCGATAATATCGCTGATAAATGCTGTGTGCATGCACGCAGCCACAGGACACATGCAGCTTGGAGTGTAGCCCAGTAGCTTGGAGAGCACTGTCTGGCCAATAAGTCTATTTGGGGAAAGGAGTTTGGGGGAGGGAAGGGATGTGGGGGGAGACAGATCGAGGCCTCGCGGTGAGGGAGGGAGTGAGGCTGGGGCAGGCGCTGCCGAGCTGGGGCAGGGCAGGGGATGGAACTGATGGCTTATCCAGGGAGTGCAGAGGCTCAGAGAGGGAGGGCTTGAGGGAGGGGGGTGGCTCCTGCCACTGCATGCACCACTGGGGAAGGTATGGTGGACATGTGCTCCCCCGGATCTGTGTGCGGGGTGATAGTAGGCTGCTGCTGCAGGCTAAAGCCAAAGACTGCACTGGGGTCTTTCTGGCAGCTTTGCTGGGGTTGGGCAAGGTAGAGGTGGGTAGCGGCGGTGCTGGGGAGAGGTTGTGGTGGGGCTAGAGTCACCCCAAAATTTGATGAACACCTTGCTGGGGTCGTTTGACCCCAGTACTCTTTCCTGCCATGGCAGGGGGTCGGACTAGATGATCTTCTCAGGTCCCTTCCGACCCTAGAAACTATGAAACTATGAAACTATTCTGGAGAAATTCCAGTGTTTTACCATTGTCTGCAGCAAGCTGATTTGTGGAGAACTATGCCCTGTTGCCACACAGCTAATTCTTTTGATTCAGTTGGCAGCCAAGTCTGTGACCTGCACAACTGGTTTTTGTGGATCCTTTCTTGCCCAGTGTAACAGGACCAGTGCCCAGGGCAGCTGTTGCCCCCAGGGGTGAAATGACCTCTGCACCATGCTAAGGCACCCTCCCTTTGCTCTTGCCTGCTGTGCCTTGATCTTATTGTTGTGCCTTCTATGATTATTAATGAAATTTTGAAAGAGAGTCTGCGGAAGAGTCTTAGAGCATGCCATAACATGTCCTCTTCATTTGCGGATCCCTCTTGGACCCTGCTGCTCCCAATCCCTCTTTCCCATTAGATAGGCCCTCCTGGCCCATGTGTGCCCCAAGGGCACTCACTGCCTTATGGACTAATCATGGCCTCCAAACCTCCCCTACAGCAACGTCTGCACCTCGCAAGTGTTTCTAGTCATCACTTAGGTGGGCACCTTTTCCCACACCTTAGGCTTCTACTCCCTTGTTGGGCCACAGGCTTCTCAGCTTCTGTCCCCACTGCTCTGGCTAGTCCCTTTGGCCTAGACCCATTACACCAGGTCTGGCTCCTCAGGGTCCATCCCTTGTCTTGCTGTCTTGGGCTCTTATCATTGCCATGCTCAGGCTGTGGGCCCCCAGCTCCAATCTCTGTCCCTCTCTGAGCTGTGAGCTCACTAGTCGTGTTTCCACCCCTTCCATGGGACCTTGACCCTTGTTTTGCCTCTCCCATGCTTTTGTCTGTCTCTTACTGCAGTCAAGCCCCTGCCCTGTGGCAGGACTCAGCCCCCCCAGCCCAGGATTGACTTGAAGAGGCTCTGGGATCCACTGGTTGATTGCTATTGACCGGTTTGTGACCACTGTTTTAGGGTATGTTATGTATGTAGCAGACCTAATTGCTTCACAAGATGGTTTGCTGTGTCTTGTACACTAGGTAGACATGTACTAGAAACACCTGGAAGTTGGTTTCTTTTCATGATCCCAAAGAGTGACCATCGTTATCTTTTGTTGTCATTGTGTTAATTTTGTTTCCTTTTACTGTTGACTTTTCTAAAGAAATCGGTCATACCTATTTTGTAAATTCAGCTGCTGCCTTTTAATTTGAAAAGAAGTTGGGGTCAGTGTAATATCTCTACATGCCAGGAATATAAAGATCTGATCACTTCTTGTGTGCTACTTTTTAATGCAGCTTTGAGTGAGGCCCAGGATATTAACCTGCATCTGACACCTCTTCAACATCACTTGGAGGAAATAGAAACAGTGGAATTCAGTGAGGTGAAGTCATTGGTCAGCTCCTTGCTCCATGTGGTGTGTTTAATCTGGGCCACATCTAAGTACTACAACACACCTGCACGGATAATAGTGCTGCTTCAAGAAATATGCAACCTGCTGATTCAACAGGTAAGTTGAGTACATGTTTTAAACCATGACCATAACCCTCTGGGGGCACTTAGAATTTTTTATATTAGCAGTCAGCTCACAACATTCCATCTTGAACAAAGTATTATAGCTTTCACAATTTCCATTGGGATTATTTGGGTTTTTGAACCCATTACTTTGGCCACGCTAACCAAGGCCACTTCAGCTCATTTTTCCTGTAGTGCTTGTATGTTGTTCCTGTATCCATGTTATTGTCTAAGTAACCATTTTTTGATCATCTTCAGGGCATTTTTAGCACTTATGCACTCAGAAGAATGTTGTTCTTGCACATATAGACCTGCGTATATGGATGACTATGTTATTCCACCCACACTGGGCAACTAAATGAAAGTGAAAGACCACTCATTTTTTTCCTTGAGTTGTTGAGTGGCTGGGACACTCACCTGGGAGGAGAGAGGACTTGGATTCCCTCAGAGGGAATTTGAAACTAAATCTACCCTCACTTTCCTACATGGCACTCTTAACTACTGCACCAAATATTAGCTATTATTCCTTGTCTTCTTTGGCCCTCTTTTTGAAGCTGACCAGCTGGCCAACCACACTAGGAAGGCATGTGGGAGATATGTGGAGCTAGGAGGAAAAGAGTAAGCCAGTGGCTCAGTGCAGTAGCTCATGGCTTAGAAAGGCGGGGGGCCTGCATTCTAGCTGGAGTTCTTGTCCCCAGTGAAACAGAAAGTTCTTCCTGCATTGTCCTATATCCATTTTTCCAGTGACTACATTAGTGGCTCACCTTCAAAAGGAGCAGCAGAGACAGGTCTGAGCATTGGCTGGTCTGGTGAGATGGTTAGGGTGCTCTAGTAGGAAGCTGAAAAACACCTGTGTTCAAGTTTCCTCTGGGTTTGGCAGGTGTAAAATCAAAGACTTCCTGCTTCCTGGGATGAATGTGCTAATCACTGAGCTGTGGCTAAAAGAGGGACATATGCATCCCTTTTCTGTTCCTGAGGCTGGTAGCCACAGGTTTTAGTTGACTCCATTTTTAGGTGCCTGTGTTTGCTACAAATCCATAAGAGGTCTACATGCAGACCATGGCTGCTATTATGCATACTTTGTATGTGTGACTAAATAGTGGTGCATATTCTTTAAGAAAAAAGAGAGAGAGAGATAGGAGAACCTGGGGAATTATAGACTGATGAGCCTGGCTTCACTACTTGGGAAATTACTGGAGAAAATTATTTAAAAAATTGTAAATATCTGGAGTAGGAAAAGCTGATCATGAGCAGCCAGCAGGCCTGTGTGAGTCAGTAGTGATCTGATCCGGCTTCAGATCTGGCCGCTTCAGATGGCAGTGACTCAATCTGCAGCTCTGGACCGGGTTTCCGCCTTGATCCAGCTGAAGCAGCTCTGGCCATAGGGTATAATGGGGGAATCAATGAAATATCTATAACTTTGGTTTTTTTGTCTGATTTGGATGAAACTCGCAGGGATGGTAGCCTCTGCTGAGAGCATGAAACCTGACAAGTTTCAAGAAGTTCGATGCAGGGGTTTGGGGGGAACTGTACCCCAAATCCTTGAAAGCCAAACTCATGTCACGGCTGTGTGTTACACCGCGCGGGGGTTTGTGTGTGTGAAAACTGTAGCAGTGGCAGCCCCTGGTGAGGCCACAAAGCCTGTCAAGTTTCAAGAAGATTGGTGCATGGGTTTTGAGGGAACTGTACCCCAAATTCTTGAAAGCAAAACTCCTGTCATGTCTATGTGTTACATCACAGGGGGGTAAAAACTGCAGGGATGGTAGCTCTTACTGAGGACACAAATCGTGCCAGGTTTCAAGGAGATAGGTGCAGGGGTTTGGGGGAAACTGCACCTCAAGCTGTGGACAAGCAAAACTTGTGACATGGGTGACTCTGTGTGTGTTAAGGCGCAGCAGGGTGACCCTGCAGGGATGGTGGTCCCCGCTGAGGCCACAATGTCTGCCAGCTGTTGAGAAGATCGGTGCAGGGGGGTTCTGGGGTCCTGCACCCCTAGCTACTGACAGGCAAAATTCATGCCATGGGTGCTTGTGCAACTGACTGTGGCTGTCTTGGGGTAGTTGATTGTCTGTATTGATTATTTCCTCTCCTTAGCCTGGTTTTGTAGGTGCTAATTGATCGCAATTAACTGGCTACATTAGCTAGGTCCTGTGTATTGAGCTGGTCCCTGAGTGAATCATGATTGGTAACTGGTAACACAGTAGCTTAGCAGCCAGACCTGCAGTAGTCTCCCCCACACCCCAAGACAGAGACAAGCACCCATGTCACGAGTTTTGTCTGTTAGCAGCTAGGAGTGCAGGGCCCCAGAACCCCTCTGCACTGATCTCCTTGACAGCTGGCAGGCTTTGTGGCCACAGCAGGTGCCATCGTCTCTGCAGCTGTCACCCCGCTGCGCCTTAACACACGCAGTGTCACCCATGGCGCGAGTTTTGCTTATCCGCAGCTTGAGGGGCAGTTCTCCCTCAAACCCCTGCATCAATCTTCTTGAAACTTGGCAGGCTTTGTGGCCTCAGCAAGAGCCCCCCCCCCC